GTACCTCTCCGGTGTCCCAGTCACAGATGCTGTCCACCTGCAGAGGCTGCTGGGGCGGGTTCCTGCGCTGCGGCAGGGGGGCCACCTCCTGGCTCCGCCGCTGCAGGTCCCCAATGGTCTTCTCGGCCGCAGCCAGCTTCTTCTCCTCTGCCTGTGGGGTGCCGAGCAGTGGGGGGTCAGGCCAGGCCCCCCAAACCCGCCCCCCAAGAGAGCCAGGGACCTGGCCTTCATGAAGAGGGTCTCTAGGTCCGCAGAGTAAAAGGGGCCCCTCCCTGGGGCCTGGACCCTGGGGTCTGCTGGGCAGAGTTGTGGGGGGAGGGGGGCTGCCCAGAGCCATCCAGGCCTCAGCGTAGGAGCGGGAGGGGCTCAGCAATCCTGGAGGCCCTGTCATGTTACAGGGGAGGAACCTGAGGCCCAGGGAGGGACAGAGTTTGCTGGTGACTAGAGCCCCCCCCTCCTGCCCCCCAGACCAGGGCTCGGGCAGGACAGGCACCAGGAGGGGTGAGGCCCAGACACACAGGCAGGCCGATTCCCACGGTGCAGGGGCTGGTGGGGCTGTCTCACCTCCAGCTGACGCAGCAGCTCAGTGGGGGCGCCTGGGGCCCCCCCAGGGGCAGGGCTGTACTGGGTGTCCAGGCTGGAGCTGAGCTTTGCCAGGGTCTGGCTGACGGAGTCGGCCTCTTCCTGGAACTGAGGTCGGTGGGTGTGAAGCAGAGCCCAGGGCCCCCGCTGCCCGTTAACCCCACAGAACAGCTACATGCCGACCGGCTGGACCCTAACCGCCACGGTCCCCGCACCGCCGGCCCTTCTCCCGGGCCGCGGGCCGTTCTACTGAGGGCTCTGCCCGCGGGCACCTGTGGTTCACTGAACCTCATCTCCTCTCTGAGCCCGGCCTTGTCCGGAATTCCTGCCCAGGTGAAGGCCGCCACCGCCGCCTCCGCCTCCCTCCAGCCCCAGGGGGTGCTGGCTGCGACCGGGGCTGGGACCCGGGTGGGTGCCCAGGATGGGTGCTCAGGAGGTAGAAGCTGGGGATGTGCTTTGATGATTTTTTTTGGTGCTTTTTTTAAAAAAAAATTGACTGGAGAGAAACATGGATTTGTTGTTCCGCTGACTGATGCCTCCATGGGCTAACTCTTGCATGTGCCCCGACTGAGGATCCAGCCCACAACCTCGGTGTATTGGGGCGAGGCTCTAACCAGCTGAGCTACCCAGCCAGGGCCTGGAGAAGTGCTTTAAAAAAACACCCCAGCCCTGGCTGGTGTGGCTCAGTGGATAGAGCGTCGTCCTGAGGACTGAAGGGTCCAGGGTTTCAATTCTGGTCAAGGGCACATGAGTGGGTTGCAGGCTCAATCCCCAGTAGCGGGCATGCAGGAGGCAGCCGATCAATGATTCTCTCTCTCTCTCCTTTTTCCTTTCTCACTGAAATCAATAAAGACATATTTTTTAAAAAGAAACGCCCCCCAGCTGGGTGACACTGAGGAACTCTTGTCAATGGGGCGACATGGTGTTGTGGTTTATCCAGAAAAAGGAAGGAAACGCCTTGGCTTTTGTCTCTCGCAAATTTGGGGTGAAAATTACCAAAAAAAAAGTTCCTGTCGTACATTAAATCAATGTTTCTCAACACTTCTTGCTATTGTCTTTTCTAAGGAGGTGTTTATTGTAGACATTCTTTTCTGACTTTCCCCATCACCTCCATGAAAGTTTAACACCACAGACAGGTTGTCTATCCATCATGTGTGTCTATCTATGGTTTATACATAAAAAGAGCAACGCCTTTTTTCACTCGTAAGAACCAACTTTCTCTGCCTTGGGGCGTTTCCCTGTAGAGAGTTCAGGTGTGACATCACCTGCCCCCTGAGACCTGGTCACAGAGGCACCTGCCGTTGTCACGAGCTGCCTTGCCTCCCGCAATGCGCGTGTCCTGTGTCTTCTCCAGGCACCTCTGTGCTCCAGCCGGGCCCTGGTGGCCACC